ACGCTGTATCGCGAAGCAGGTACCATGCTCTACTCAAACAACACATTTCGACTTTCGCGCCATCTCCCCTTTCCATTTGACCTGCCTAGCTCGTTTGTCGAAGTACCACGAGAATTCTTCAGCCGTCTTGGATCACAAGCGCATTGGCTGCGTAAAATTGTCTTAGACCTAGATCATCTAAAACCCAGGGACTGCTTCAGAGGAGAAGCTCGACTGGACAATGACTTCGAGGAGCAAGAACGGGTGTTCGAAGAGAAACTGGAGCTGTTTGAGGTTACTCCTCTTCTTCGGGCTATTTGGCGTCTTCACGCTGACGTGGACGTCTCGTTCACCCAGCCATTTGGTCCTGCTAAGTATCAGGGTGAGGAAGTTTTCCGGTGCCACGCGTCATCAATCACTACGATTATGCGATCTATTCTACAGGGTCAACTGAAGCTACGGCAGTATGGAAGGCTAGTTGCTGCCGTTGGTCTAAAGCGAGATGGCTCCGGAGGAATGATCAACTGGGGTACTACAAATTACGATTATCGGGGCGCACATCCGCAACTAGTTAGGATTCTTCCTGGTCCAGAGCACATGTCTACCTTCGTGGCGGAGGACGACGGGTCCCGACTCGAGCTTGTAAAGAGCAATCAGGCTTCTTTACTTGGTGTCCCCAAACGCATACGCCGACTCATCTTCGACACGATCATCAACCCTGTTGATAGCATAGCTATCAACCTCGATGAGGAGACCAAGTTCAACTGCGGGTTGCTGCATACCAATCAGGAAATCTTCGAGACATGGAGGTCGCATTTCCTGTTCCACAACCGCTTTACTCTGACGATGGCAACAAGCGACCTCCGCACTACATTTCAGAACTTCGATAAGCTGAGACGGTTCCTCCGCAAAACGTTCAAATCAGATTACAGCCGTAAGAAGAGAGCTGATGAGTCGATGAGGACTATTGCGACATCGAACGAAGTTTGTTATCGTCCAACCGGCGTACACTACATCCTCAGGTTCAATTTGAGTACTCCAGCCACGCTGAGCGACATCCGCATCAACATCCTACCCTTTGTAATGGAAACCTCGACTACGCCACCCCATCATGAAGTAACAATCCAGATATGGACCCCTACACCCGACGGCTCCTTAGCCATGACAGCTACCCACACCATGACCCTCACCAGACTACGACTAAACGTCATCAAAGCTATCTTAGACTGCGCATTCACAGGAATATCAAATAAGTCATACCTACCCGACTTCTGGACCAACGGCTTTGGAGATATCGTTGAGACAACCCATGATTCGGTTGACGACACGGGTGGAGCGTGGGAGCCTGCCTCCGAGATTGCGCCGGGAATATACCACCCCGTTGCCGTTCGAACTCTCCATCCTATCGATCGGAAATATCGGGAGTGTGAAGTAGATCTGGGATGTGAATACCATGACGATACGCAGTTCTTCCCTTTTAGGGCAGATAAGAAGGAGGTTCTGGTTTATCTTATGAGGAGTATCGAGGACTATCCTAATTACTTCAAGACGTAAGTTGCGATTTCATATGCGTCTTTGATAGTCTGGGTGGTTTTACTAACAGGGTGCAGGTTAAAGGCTCCGCCGCTTTCTTGTGCCTGCGAAGATGACTGTCCCCTTAGGAAAGATGACGATGTCGAGTCGAGCATTCTTGACTGGCAATATCTTGTGTCGCGTTGATAGGCAAATGCGGAGGCAGAATAGGCTTTGCGAAAATGTTCGATGACCTCCTACAGGGAAGAGGTACAGCATGTGCCTGCAGTCTACGTTGGTCTCAAAACAAAAGTTTGCGTACATCTAAAGGCAATGTATACTACTAGGTAATCCTGGGATAATGCGTCATCTAGTTAAGATGACTCTTCAACCCTGCTAGCTATGACCCGAAGTCGGTGACTGTGCGCCTGTGATTCATGGACCTGTCATCCTACTCTCTACAATTCCTGCAACCAACATAAACTTCAGCATGTATTGACTACTCACACTGCTTCCAGTGCATGTCATAGCCATCAGTCCGTATGCAACGCTCGGACGATGAGCCGTAGCCACAGGCGTGTACCTCCCTCTACTTTCAAACCTCCTCTATTCATCCTCTAGGTATCTTCCACACAAGATTACACATAATTCACGCTACTGAAATGTCTCGCAATAGTCACCAGTCAAGACCCGCCTTATCCAAAGCCCCATCCTTCCTCGCCCTCCCCGCCGAACTCCGCAACAAGATCTACCACCATATCTGTCACCGCCCCTCCCCCATCCGCCTATACTTCTACCAAGATCCCAAAAGCAACTCGCCTAAACCTGTCGTGCCATATGCATCCAACACCACGATACCCACCGCCTTCTTCCTAACCTGCCGACAAATCAACGCAGAAGCATCATCAGTCTTCTACTCCACCAACACTTTCTTGCTCAACCGAACAAGCAAATTTGCTACTTTCACGCGCCCGTGTTTCGTCAGCGCGCTCGTCAAATTCTTTGATACTCTGGGTTCGAGAGCCAGGCTCGTGAGGAGGGTTGTTTTTGATACTTTTACCTTCCCAGATAGTGTATTTCTCTATACCTATCTGGACAGAAAGGCGAGGGTCTTTGATACTAGGATGGATGTTGTGGAAATTACGGTGTTACTCCGGGTGGCTTGGAGTCGCGGTCTTGACTTTGAGATTAGGCTTATAGATGTGGATGATGTGGGTGTGGAGGGAGGGAGGGCGGAGTATTGGACGGGGAATTTTGAGAAAGAATGCTCTAAGAAGATTATCAGTGTCGTCAATGCACTGCTCGCGGGGCAGTTGGGGCTTAGGGAAAATAGCGGTGCGGTGCGTGCCGTGGCGGTCAAGAAGGATGGTTCTGGAGGCTTGATCTGTTGGTCTGACGCTTCCAGTGAAGGTCATAAGGCTACAGTGCCTTGTTGCCATTGCGGCCCAATGACCAAGTTCACTGCGAAAAGCGGAGGCAAAGAATTGGAGCTCGCCATATTTGCCCCTCTCTAGCTTCGCGGGAGTAGCTATCTTTGACGTTTCACTCTACTCGCACGATTAAGGCTGCAGCATTGCGAGCAACAGTGTGGGAACGTCTAGCCTTTACCCCTATGTAGTGGAGTCAATCGAATCAACAGTACATTCGCAAACACCAGAGCTGTCAACCGATCGCATCACCCAATCCACCTACCGGGTCAACTCCTCGATCCCAACGAGAGTTCAACATGCCTCCATACACTATCCCCTCGCCTATAGCCACAGCAGGCGACTCAAAGCCAATAGACTTAAGCAGACACTCTCTCGTCAAGCTGCCCGCTGAGATTCGAAACCAGATTTATGGACATCTCGTCGAATACCCAGAGCCGATCATAATTGACCTCGATCTCTCCCCAGCCAGGGACGTCTATAGATTTTATCTTGGTGCAGGATTTGAAATGCACAAGGGCCTGTTTTTCGCGTGTCGAACTACCTACCTTGAAGCAGCTTCGTTGTTCTACGCCAACAACACGTTCGTTATCATTCCAGCCAACCTAAAAAACCATGGTACCATCGAATATCTTCTAGGTGTCTACACTGGATGGCTCCGGAAACTGGGGTCTCAAGTGTACTGGCACCATAAGTTCTCCATCGATCTCTCCCAAGGCGTCTTAGACAGGCGTATAAGCTTCAGATTATACAACCAACAAAGACCCGAGGCTTTCAACATAGGACACTTACTTCACTTCCTTTGGGAATATAACCTTAACATAGACATCACTTTCACCAACACCGTGTCCGCAAACGACCGACGACGTACTTTCGATCCTAAAATGATAACGGCTATTACAAAGTCCATTCTCGAAGGCCGGCTAATGCTTAAGGCGTCTCGGCGCCATATCGCGTCAGTCGCAATTGACTACGATGGCACCGGAGGCGCATTTGGCTGGAGAGAGGCTGACGAGTTTGACCGCTGGCCTCGGGTAATGATACCTGCTCACGATCAATACCACAGGTTCACCGCTGAGGACGGCGGACGACGGCTCGCTCTGGTCCGTCGAAGGCCGACTTTGATTGTCCGGCAGAGCTCGTAGAAAAGCGAAGAACAAGAGAGGAATGGTGTGTGACGCGTGGGCAAGGGAGTGTGTTAATGGGATAGGGGATCGCGGTGCGTAGTCGAATATACCTAGGTATACCTGTGCTGAGGTAACTACACGATCTAATAAGAATTTGCTCTCTACGGCAGCATAATGGTCATTTGAGGCGCGCATGTGGTCGTGATGTCACTCTGGGGGTTCCCGTTGTCTGGGTAGCGAAGTCGTGAGGGCCATACGCAAACCTGCACGGATCATGGTGGTCATGTGACAGAAGGTATAGCCTTGGGTTGGGCGTGTGGGCCAAAGCATTCACTGAAGTTCGGACCCCCGACTCTTCTTCACGACGCGTTCAACCACAGTATTTCTCTCCCCTCATCCAAGCCAACGCAACCCCATCAGCGCAAGAATCCCAACCATGCCTAGAGAGACTGCGATACCGACGACACGGCCTTCGGTATGGGACAGAGTGCGAAACAAGCGGTGGCCTCTGTTACGAACAAATTCCAGACTTTCGTTAGATGATGGTAGCGCGCGACCGAAACCAGGAGGGCTCAAAAGAATGCTGAGCTCACGTTTGGGAACGAGCGTAAAGACTCCACGGCCTCGATCATCCTGGGTATGGGGAAGGGGAACCGTCCACGGTGCATCAGAAGAAGCGGTACCATTGACTCGCTCGAGAATCTTCCTACAACGAACGACTTCAGCCACCACCGTGGATCGAATACGGCCGCCGAGTCACTACGTAGACTATAGTAAAGTCCCACGAGCTTGTGATCGCCGACGGTCTACATCGAGGAGTAGTATAGTGGCTCAAGCTTCCGAAGGAGTGACCCTCGCGACGGTTTATAGCGACGACGGTGAGCCCTCGGGACGCGAATACGACCGCCGGAACTTCAAAGCCATTCGAGGCATATCGCGCGCAGCCCTTGAAGAAATGGTACTCGATCTCGTGGATCCTGAGAGGAAGTTGTCCTCTGGCAGCTGTCGCGTAAGACATCGGACGGAGGGATCTTTCCACCACGCAGTATTCCTGAAGATTGAGCGCGATGATGAAGTTCCGCAGGAGTATGTTCTCAAGATACCTGCACACGGTGCACCAAAAGAGTGGGGTATGAACGATCGTATGATGTTGGAATGTGAAGCTCAGTTACTGAAGCATATCCGCCACCATACACATTGTCCAGTACCAGAGGTTGTCGCATACGACGGCGGCCTAAACAATACGATAGGCGCGCCGTACATACTCATGAAGAAGATCAAAGGTATAGCGGCGACGGATCTGTGGCTTGGTCAACCCTACAGGATGTTCAAATCTGACGATCTGCACCTTGAGGCCGACGACCCTTCGCCGGAGGTCGAGCAAAGGCGCGTTACCTTTCTGCGCTCTCTTGCGCAAGCTATGAGCCAACTTGCGACACTCGAGTTCCCATATACTGGTGTCCCTAGCTACGAGCATCCGGAAGATAAGAACCCAAAGTTCATCGCACCAGCATGGCGATGGCACTGCAAGATGAACATGGAAGAGCCGACGTCTTATGGATCATTTGCGTCCAGCGAAGCTTTTTTCGCTGCTGGCCTCGACAGGCTATGCGAGCCCGAGAGCCCTCTTGATAGCGATGGAATGACAGAGCTTGGCGTCCAGATAGTGATGAGGATCATACTGTCTTCGGCTCCGTTCAAGCCGTCCACGCCCTTACAGGGTGAAATCTCTCGGGCTGGGTACGGTAGCCACACCATACCGGTGCGCGAAGCATTTGTCATCCGACATGACGATCTCGACCTCCAGAATATCCTGGTGGATGAAGATGGTAATGTGACTGGTATTATAGACTGGGATGCTTGCGCAGCGGTGCCACGCTGCATTGGCTATACATCCATGCCTAGCTTTCTTCGTCGCGACTGGCTCCCAGACTACGGCTTAGGTCGGCTGCCACATATGACTTGGGCCATCGAGCGCTACCGCGAGGTATACACCCAGGCTATGGAGGAGCTCTGTCAGTCTTCGGATGTAAACCTCACGCGCAAGTCCGCGATGTATCAACTGGTGTTAGCGGCCTTGGACAAGGACTTTCGGTGTAGGGATGTTGTGGAGCTGCTGCTGAGGGAAATGCCTGAGTACAGACGCGTTGATGTGAATTCGTTTTGTCGGAGGCTGGGGCAGGGTTGGCCGGCAGCTGAAAAGGCGTTGAGGATGAAGATGGCGGAGTTGTTGAAGCCGGAGTGAAAGCGATCCGTATGTGCAGCCTGTATGACGTCGAAGGGTCTTCCAAGGGATTTATTACTTTATGGTATTCGAACCATGTCAATGCCATCTTGATCGTGATGGAAGATGGCCCCGAGATTCCACGTGCTGAGTCAAAACTGTCGTTGCTATGGGGTCTCTTATCGCAACGACCGCAGGCTTATCAGTGCTCAACGTCATCGGTACCGAGCACGTGCCGAGCTCTCACCCCTACGTCCCAACGTTCTTTCTTGCGCACAAACTTCAGCCAACGCATCGTCAGATCCGGCCCAGACACACCCCGCATCGGTGAGAGTCATCAACGTGCGATAATCGTATTGCCCCGCAACGGTCGCCAACAATCGATAAACTATGTCTGTGCCACGCTTAGGCCAAGTCGCGTTACGGTGCGACCAAGACGGATGGCGGCTGTCCAGCTTCTCAGCCCTATCTTACGCGAGCCTCTTCTCGTAAAGCTTACAGGCAGGATCGATCTAAGTATCTCACGCGGTACATGATGAGGCGATGATACATCAACAATGTACCCTTCGAGAAATAGCACTACCACACCTGCAGGTGCTGCCGTATCATCGCGCGTCCTTGTCCGGATGTAGTACCACTCGGTGTAATACAATGGGTATAGCACTACCCTAAGAGCAGATGCCGAGCTGGTGTTGTAACTCTTGGTTCTCGAACAGGTCTCGGCTCATAGTCATTGGGATCGGCTACCAATTAGGACGTGCTCGACTGCATTGGCGCACAACAAGTCAGGCATCGTGATCCGAAGATGGGTGTGCGGGAAAAGCAACGTTTGTTGATATAAAACAAACATATCGTGGACACCTTCAGATACGAGCACCACCCACCGACAGTCGCTTTCGCATTCATCTTCTTGCACCTATTGTGTGCTCTAATATCCTAATATCTAATGTTTTCACACGCAAAGGCAGCGGCTGCCTTTCTGCCATTTCTCTACTCAAACACCCTCGCTCAGGGCCAAGGATCATGGGGTCCAGTAATCGACTTTCCGATCATTCCCGTTGCAGCCTATATCGTTCCGGAATGGCCGACTCCGACTCGCATGATGGTGTATTCGGCATTCTCACCGAACGCCTTCGGGGGTGAACGTGGTCTCACTCAGTTCGCAGAGTACAATTTGGTCTCCGGACAGATGACTACTCGTCAGGTTGCTGAAACCAACCACGACATGTTCTGCCCTGGTATGAGCTCCTTGGCCGACGGAACATTGGTGATCACAGGAGGAAGCAATGCGGAGAAGACAACCATATACCAACCGGAGACAAACACATTCGCTCCCGGACCGGATATGAAAGTACCCCGTGGCTACCAAAGTAGCGCTATCCTCTCCAACGGAAACGTCTTCACTATTGGTGGATCTTGGAGTGGCCCAAGAGGTGGAAAGCCAGGAGAGATTTACGATCCAGTACAGAATACGTGGACACTTCTTCCTGGTGCTGCTGTCGAGCCGATGTTGACAACCGACCACGAGGGTATCTTCCGCGAGGACAACCACGCCTGGCTCTTTCCCTGGCGCAACGGCACTATCTTCCAGGCCGGGCCCAGCAAAGCGATGAACTGGTACTACACCGATGGCGAAGGAGGCGTCAGCCCAGCGGGCATCCGGGACGATGTCAACGACGCCATGTGCGGTGTCCACGTTATGTACGATGTTGGAAAGATTTTCACTGCAGGTGGAGCCCAGTACTATGATCAAGCGCCCGGTCTCGCAGTCGCGCACTTGATGGAGATCAACTACGTGGGCGCACCAGTGACAGCTGAACGAATCGCCGATATGCACCACCCCCGCGCTTTCGCAAACATCGTCGTTCTTCCTGACGGCAAGCTCTTGATCACTGGTGGACAGCGTTGGGCTGCGGGCTTCACAGACATCGACCCCGTCTTCATCCCCGAGATGTTTGACCCCGCAACCAAGACTTTTACCGAGCTACCTGCTGAAGCCATTCCTCGTAACTACCACTCCGTTTCCATCTTACTACCCGATGCCACCGTCTTCAGTGGAGGAGGAGGTCTCTGCTGGGATGACGGAACCGGTGGACCGTCCTATCACTGCAAAGACACAGTCGACCACCCCAACGGCCAGATCTTTACACCAGCATACCTCCAAACCGGCGCTCCTCGCCCGATCATCGAGAACGTTGCCAACAGCATCGTCGCCCCTGGCGGTGAGCTGAGGGTCAAGATGCAAGGTTCGGCCGACGGTGTGAAGTTCTCTTTCATCAGGATTGGAAGTGTTACACACAACGTCAACAGTGATCAGAGGCGAATTCCGCTCCAACCAAGGGTTGAGGGTGAAGAGGTCGTCTTGCCCATCATGAATGACTCTGGTGTCGTATTGCCGGGAGCGTGGTATCTCTTTGCTGTCAGTGCGGAGGGTGTGCCGAGTGTGGCTAGGACTGTGTGGGTTGAGAAAGTTTAAGTCTGATGGTTCATTTGATTGAGTCGCGATAGATGAAGATACCTAAGTAGATTCGTAGTAGTGTTAATACAAATTAAGATACCAAACCAACACATGTGTCAAAGTGTGAAGGATGGGCACTGTTGCGGAAGATTCGGCATCAGAAGCTCGTCGCTTAGTAAGCACTCCGAGTGACTGACATCTTTCGGTTCATACCAAGAATGTGAGAGCTATCGACGACATGAATTATTATTAACCAATATGTGAACCAAGACATAATGATCATTTGATCATTCATATGTTTCCGTATGAACGAAAGACTTATGAATTAGTCAGAAAAGAGTTCTTTAAATGGAGTTCTTGATGTTCTAAAGAGGTTATAGGCTGTTGACCAAGATACATCGCTGGCTAAAGCGCATTACCAAAATGACAACGGAGATGCTCGTTTTCATGCTTCTACGAAGAGAACCTACAGAGGTCCTCTCTCCACGTCCTTGTGTGATCCATCCACGCTTCCATCAGAGGAACCCCCTTTGATCGCATCTTTCTTCTCCTCAGCCTTCGGTGCCGGTGTTGGCGGCGGAATCTGCGCAACCCAGAACACCGGGTATCGCCGCTGAACATTATTCCCCATCATGGCTGTAACCAGCACAACGGTCGAAGACAGCAGCAATACCGGCAAGAAGTACCATCGCAGCGCCCAGATATGCTGGTCAACACACGGCATGAGCGCTGTTGCTCCAGCAGGTGGATGAGTCGTCTTAGTCAGATGCATGACAACGAGAGCGATAGCTGTGGCCAAAGCAGCTGCGAGCCATTGCAGTCGTGGGTAAGGATCTTTCTCGAGGTCGAACTGGAAGATTGTTGCTACGATGACTCCGACTAGGCCGCTGAAGAAGTGGCCGAAGATTAGGGAGCGTGGTTGCGAGAAGGGCACGTCGATGGCGCCGTAGCAGAGGATTGCTGAGGCACCCTAGGAAGATGTTAGTCCTCCTCAATATCAGATATACAAAGTGTCGGAGAACTCACAAATGAAGCGATGATTGGTGGTACGGCGCGACTTCTCATGTAGTCTGTATGGCCAAATATAGCGAGAATGACGCTAAGCCCACAGAAAGCGCCGATAAAACCCCAGACACAGACGACCCATGTGCGAGCAGCTGGTGCTGCTTTTGTTCGATATCCAAGCCAGTGGCTGATAGGTTGCGGAAGGCGTGCAAGACCACGCTGGATAACGCGCTCAACGGGCACAAGAGGATCCCATATCGGCATCGTGAAGGCGGAAGATGCCTAGTTTACGCACGCGGCGGCGACTACGACGTATACCCAAGAAAGACGATTAGATTGAGACAGTCGTGTCGAGGACTATTCGCTGTCAATATTAGGACGTAGTGGTAGCGATGTCAAGGAATGGAAATGCGGAAAGAGAGAAAGCTTGATGAAAGCATAGACGCGGTAAACAGAACCTAGAGAAGGGAATAACGACCGGTGGGACGTCACCATCGCGGATCGAGCCTGGATCATGCACCCCGGACTAATGGCGCGTGCCATTTTAGTGCTACTAATGACCGCGGCATCACGCTTTTTGAATTCACGATCTTTGTTGATGCCACCGTTTCTAGGCATGGCTGGTATGCGTCGACACAAAGACAACAGGACCTCTGGCCCTGCTGCGTCGCCTACAAACAGGCCCTGCAACAACAGCGAGGATAAACTCTGCACGAACAAACGCGCAAAAGGAAGGCTTCCGCAAAGTCCTGACGATGGTTTGCGAAAATGCGGAGTAAGCAGTTTTCTGTTAGTAATAATCCGAGATTTCGCAGAGCTTCGGGCGAATGTCGCCGAAGTGCGGCATCACCAAAATCTTACTCCTCACACTTTTACGAAGGTCGGTTCTCAGCTGGTACGGTCAGGATTGCTCGTATTAAGGTATATGTATTGTTGTTGTTGGATCGTGCAAAGAGACGATCTGTGCCTTCGTGTATTCCTCAAATCCGTAGAGTCCCAGGCCGGACTCTCAAGAACGCCAGAGCGCCGCGCTAAAGCCCAAAGATTTGGCATGCATCCCAGATAAAAGTCGTAACATGGTCGTCGCGATTAGACAGCCTGCCAGGTATTACTATTCGGATCCTTTAGCAGGCTACTGTTCGAGCCTTTGGTACCCAGTGCGGTAGCCACCGAGTCCACCCTAACATTTCCCTTCACTTTGGTACTATCCGCGTCATTACTATTCGTATCCTCTCCATCATCTTTCACAGTCGGTAAGCTCATATCAGCCACGAAGCTCGGTTTGGTGAGCTGGTGCTCCTTCAGTATGCCCATCTTCTTCAACCGGTTCTCAGCAGGGCTCTTGAGCCAAGGAAGCGAACTAGCGATAATACCGATTTCTTCCTCGAGTTTGGCCCAGAGTGAAGGCACGATGGTAGCTTGCATCACGTCGCCTTGGCCGAACGTGGTGAATGTTGTCATCTTGGCGCAGTTTATCGCGGTTGCGAGGAGACCAAGGGCCATGAGGAAACCGATGAGTATCTTCTCGGACTGGGAGCGGTTCAGTGTGCGGATCAGCCGGATTGGCATGAGTGAGAGTGTGAGATCCATGGCGATGTAAATGCCTATCAAGCGAGTTAGTTGGGTCGTATATGAATAGCACCTCTGGGGGTCTTACCAGCAATGACCCATCCGTAGATGACGATGGGGCCCAGATCCCAGCATTTGGAAGAGATACCGGTATCCCAGTTCGAGCTTACGGGTGTGCATTGCGCAAATTGGATGACGAAGTAACTCCATGAGATTGTTGTTTGTAGGCCCATGATGAAGTACAACGGCCATCGCCAAAGCCTTTCAGTCCCGAAGCGCAGCAGTGAGCACGCGACAGAGAGTCGTACAAGCCAGAGCGTAAGAAGCCATACAGTTTGGAGGGCGAACTGTAGTCTCAATGTCTGCTTGAGCGTCTCGGGTGTGAAGGATGCCGCTGGTTTGCCCCATCCGTATGCCGTGGATGCGATAGCCAAACATATGCCGATCAAAGAGAGTGGTTCTGCGACAACGATGATCCAGTCATCAAGCAATAGTTTTCCAGTCCTCTGTATCCGTGTGTAGATGCGCGCGATAACCAGGAAAAACGCGACGACCCCGAAAGAAACGACGGGTCCGAGATAGATGGCGGCTTTGTTGGAGTATGGCACCGCGGCCATAGGGTCGGCCATCGAGTGGTGTGGTGTCGTGGGGTTTGACCAGAAGGTGAGGATACGGAGGAGTCTGGGGTATTACAATTGTCTTGCACGCTACGTGCGACTAGTTGTCATGGGCTTCGTGAGATACTCAAGGGATCCTCGTATGCTGCGATTCTACCAAAGCTACACACCCGTCGACGGACAAGTCGTGAACGGAAGCCCCGGATAGACAAGACGAGAAGACGAACAGGCAAACAAGAAGCAAGAAAAGCCTGGATACCCTGGGCTTGTAGAGGTATTGAACAAGTTTAAACTTTCGCACCTCGGGATCCGGCTCATCGACGCTATATACGGACCGCTGCAAGCATCGTATTTCCCGCCATTCTGACATGCGACAGCGTGGACTGATGAGGCGCCCGGCCATATGTCCTGTGAAGGCTACCACCTGCAGGAACAATAAAGTTCGAAGCAAACCTTCCGTCCTTCAGCGCGGAGACGAACTTGCGCAATGCAAATGCGGTGGGGAGGGAACCGTTGCTTTGACACGGCAGATGGGCCAGGGCCCCTCAGGCATCCATCGTCGAATGTTGGTTGCGGATGAGCCGTTTACCACGCGACTGCTAGACCGATCTGGGGCTAGGCGCTCGCTCGGCTGGGTATAGTGAGGCTATCGCAAGCGGGTAGTCGCGTGGCATGATTCACGTACCTGGAGCTGCTGAAGCAATGGCTTCGTTTTTGATGGGTGCATCGCCCCTGAGTTGTTCAGCTCCGCGAGCAGGTTTATGCGGTAGATGCACGTCAACGGTGAAGGTTGCAAGTTTCGACCCCGGATTACTACTGTCGCAATCATTGCGACTCCAGCAATCAGATGAGAGAAAGATGAAAGACGAAAAACCTGCGCTGCCGCTTGCTACGCCTACTGTGTTGCAGCTGCGACAAGATGCACATCCCATACTCAAGAATCTAGCCATCGGGCTATTCATTCCCTTCGCGGTGATGTATTCCGGTAAACTAATCGGTTTCATCGCTGCGATACCATCGACTCTGGCCCTGGTCCAGCGGCAGTACGTGCGTACCGTGTCCGGCGCGGCCTCTTTGTGATCTGAGGATTCGCAGCTGAGCGCCGTCATTGGCGGCATTATAGGGGTCTGAGTCGCACAGCATCCATAAGGATGATCTGTCCAAATGCGAGTCAATAAGTTCGGAAGGATCGCATTGCGCAAGCACTGCAGGATGAATGAATTCTGGTTGTTGGGATCTCTTGGAGTTGAGGATTGGCCGCCACGACGGGCGGAAGACGGCGGAAGACGAGAACCTGGATGCAGACTGACTCGTATCGATAGCCCAGGGAACTGATGGCTCGCACATCGCATTCAGAACTTTGGTAGCATGCGAACTATGCGGTAGCAGAACCAGAGTCCCATATGCGCCATCCTTCTTGCATGCTGCAGGGCCGCTGGCGTTCAGGCTATACGAATGTCTGTAACACGCCAGGTCAGCCACCGCATGAAAGATTACTGATGGAAAGATGTAAGCCCAACTTCGGGCCTTCTTCTATATCCCTCATTCCCTCTCCAAGAATAGGAGTACATCGGTGTAGAACTCCAATGGTCGTAAGCTTGATGAGAAGCTTCCGCGGTATCTGATTGGTCTATGACATCATGCCCCTCACTTTAGCGCAAGCACGCAACCTGCATTGAAACTCTATCGCAAGATCACAACCGAACATTGATCATCAACCACATCCTAGACTCAATCCGTTACCCATCCTCCGAAAACCGATTAGAAAGCTTTGCTATGGTCGAATGTCCAGAGTGCGGTGCAGGGGCTGATTTGACGAAAGACGGTGCTTGGGCGCATTGCGCTTCCTGTATGTCAACGCCCCTGATTTTGTAGACATGCATGCTGAGTTGTTATGAGGCAACACGGTATTTGAGCCAGGAAAAGAAGGTAGCCACTACAAGGGCAGCGGAAGCGGGTCTGGTGACAAGGAAGAAGAGAAGAAGAGCGATTCGAAGGATGAGAACGTGAAAAAGGATTGAGATTAAGGGGACGAGCTTGACTTCGAGCGTGAGATGTTCAATATCGATGTACAGTTGTATATTCACCCGGTAATTACCATGAGTTGTACGCAAAGGCCGGATATGCTTACAGTACGAATGAAATCGCTAATGTAATAACAGACACACAATATACGGCACATGCGTATCTCGCCCGATGTCCAGCAATGGTACATGATCGACGAAGATCTCTTCTTGCGCCTATGTCGTCTTTATCTCCGTGATCCTTTCGCTCCAATGGAGTAGCTCGTACCTGAGCGATACGCTCTCGACGTAAGAAAACGTAGATTTATACTAGCCTTCCACAGCGATTCGTCTTGTCGGTGGAGACCGCAGATTTCCGCCGGCATTAGCTGTCTCAACATGATCTTTTCAACTTCGCTAGCAACTGTCAGTTGGTTCATTCCATCAGTGGAAAATACTGTATACTTACGCATTGCCCGAATCAGGTTTGTTCTTAACGTCATACCTGGTCAAGACCTCCTCGAGATAATCCAATACCGTTACCGCGGAGTACTGAGATGGGAACAGCTGCTTGCAATATTTTGATTGACAGTCGTGTCGGGTCTTTTGTCCGTGGAAGTACTGATCCTTTGGGTAAATAGAGGACACTTCACGCGATTTCCTACCGCCGACTCCCCCGCGTGCTTTTGCCGGGTCGTATTGGATGCGATATGGGCTAGAGAAACGACTGAACTCTGTCTCGACGACCTTTCCTAACCCGTTTACCCACATCGTAGTAGCTGCGTACCCAACAGTCTTACCGAATGTGTGTTCCAGCGCATTCATAGCGTTCAGTCGAAGTTCTTGAAACGTGATTGTTTGCTCGGCGAAAAGGGAACGGCCACCCGGTGTAGAGGTCAATGAACGGATCGTGACAGTGCGATCACCCCAATACGAAGATGTCTCCAAAAGTAAGGGCAGCACGCTGATGCGCAGGTCTTCCAAGGCGGTCGGATCGGCTAGGTCGAACTCCAGCACAACGCTGAGCTCTTGTGACTTCTCCAGCTTCCAATGGGGCGCTGACCACCGCAAAGGTCCTGATATCCCGTGGTAGTTTTGTCCAGGATCCTCGGGAGTTGTAAATGTACGACGTAAGATGCGAGCGAGTTTGCTAAAGTTAGCGAACGTACTGCGCTTCTCCCTCGAGTGAAGCAGCAAGGTGTACGATGCGGCTTGTAGTAAGCTTGCCCAACAGGTCTCATGAAGCCGCCTGTTGGCGTAAGTGAAGTTGACTGGCAAGCTTGTGTCCACATCAAGATCGATGCAGATTTTCTCCCGCTCACTAAGAACCTCGGAAAAGATCTTGGAGAGTATGGGATGGACGGGTAAGGTTAGCAAGGTAGGAGATGTCGGCTTTGTCAAGGTAAGGCACCGTCCACTATCCTCAGCGGCAAAACTGTAGATTTGTAGCTCGCGATCGGGTGCAAGTCGGCTTGGTGCGCCAGAAGGTAGTGCTTTACCCAGACGGAACATACCACCGGAGCCGTCATATTTGATTGCAATTTCGAGCATCTGACTGCGAGATGCCTTTAGCATTATTTGGCCTGCGAGAATACACCGCATGACCCGGGTCATCGCTGGAGGATTACATACATCCAGGGAAGCTCCCTTGGCTTGCAAGTAAGCGACCTCGATAGCGAGGCGGTGGTGCCAGAGGAATCTCAAAAGTATGCCGACCTCTAACACATCGTATGTGTACGGGAATGCACATCTATCGCGGTTCAAGGCCCACGGCCTACTCGTAATATCGAGGATAACTTTACGGATCCAATGAACCTGCGAGCCCACTCGCTGGAAAAATAATACAGCAATCTCATCCGCAGTTGCCTGACTACGATGTGAGTAGTGGTAGCTGTCCGGAGCTATGAGGAACTTGTTGTTGGCATAGAAAGCCGAAGCCACATCCGAGTAAATAGTCCGACATGTCAGAAGCAAGCTCTTGTGAAGCTGATGTTCTGGTTGGAGCGAGAAGCTTATGCGCTCGGAGCTATATTCAAAATGTCGGCGGAAAGTGACCTTGACGGGCTCGGAGAACTCGACGAGATACTCGAAGATCTTGTTGCGAAGCTCAGCGGGTAGAGTGACGAGGGAGTGTTTGCGCGGATCTGCCGGCTTCGAGTCGCCGCCTGATAGTGGTAAGGGAACTCTAGGATGAGCCTTAGTGAGGGCGTTGAGGGCAGTTGAACGCTTAGTTGCCATGATGATGGCGTTCCTTGATCTGAAGCGATGTGGTTGAGAGTCGTGGAATGCGTGTAAGGTGTCAGTCAAGATCTGCAAGTCCTTAAGTATATCCAGGGTAGAGAGAATACATGGGGCTATACGAAATCGCGCCACACTGCAGCCTTGAGTCTTTCAACCCAATGGACCGTGCCCTTTGTCTTCCGACGCAGATAGTGGCCCCCACGACTTCACTACCCAGACGAACGGGAACCCCGAGAATGACGTCACAACCACGAGAGTTTGGGAATACATTTCCCATTCTTGGATAACCCAAATGATCGTATGCCCCATGAGGTCGCTCAATCGAAGTGCTGAGCGGCGTTGCCCTGGTTATAGGAGGTGCGTTTGCAGAAGACGTTGCATTCGTACGTGAAGTCGGACTACTCGTAGCGGTGTTGTCGGAGTCTCGGTTACCCATGGCGTGGAAGTCAGAGAGTGTAGTACGCGAATGTATGCTGTAGGCGCATGTGTCGAAGCGACGAAATGTAACACAGGATGTAGTGTAGACCTTAAAAATTGTGGTGTAGAAGCCAAGAAGCGCGATGTCTTTGTGTTATTGATGTTGTTGTTCCGACTATGTCAGCACCTGCTCGACAACTTCAAAGTGAAGGAACATGGCTGCGGGTGGAGCTTTTAGATTTCCGGTGATATAGGCGACGAATCCAGCTCCAAAGCCGAAGAGATGTGTCGTCTTGCAGCGCCAAGCGTATCGGGATGAGGCGTATTTTGAGTCGAAAAACATGACGGCAAAGTGTGGGACCATGTGGTGGGCATGTATAGTCGTGGATCCGCGCGTTCGTTTCTCCCCGTTCTTGATCATGTGGAGCACGAAATAGAACTTGGTCTTTCCCTTTAAGATCTCGTACTTTTTTGCATGACGCCCCGTTGTGTACTTGAGTTTCGGCTGCAACGACTCGTGGTCAGACATCTCTCCGTCCATCATAATACCCTCATCTGTATTTTCCACCTCTTTCTTTGGCATCTTGTTGTATAAACGGCGTGTCATCTCTCTGCCGTCTGTCTTCAACATCGGGACGATGTCATGAAGCATCCGAATAAGATTGTGGCTTGAGGGCTTATCTTCCACAGGAATCTTCACATCTTTCGTTGAAGTCAACATCTAACTCGTCGTAGACATTGTTTACGCCTGGCACATGGGCGATGTCTCGCCTGGCATTAGTAATGGCGGCTGTGAGCGGGTGTGGGGTTCGATTGTCAATATCCCACTGGGGGAAGTATCCCGGATCGAAGTCGGTCAAAACGAGGGCCCCCCGACTTGCGCGCCCAGATGTTGCAACTCCATCCTAATCGATTGCACATGGGTAGAGAGCATCGCAATTGTTTGGCAGAAATAGTCTTGATCCTTAACCTTCTCTTGGAATTTCTCTAGCTCTGAGTTGCTGACGTTGGTAGGGGTCGTGCAGGTTTTCTGGAGGAAGCCGTGAAGAGCTGAATTGAGGTCCTGAATGTGCTGCAGCCTGGGCACGAGCTCGTTCTGGTAGATGACGGCAGCGTCCTTGCCGATCTGCTTCTTGTTGCACAAACAAGCAGACTGCCCGGTATCGCTGCCAGAAAGCCGAGTTCGTCGCAGAAGAGCTTGCCGAATTCGATTACAGTTAAAGTTTTTCACAACAGGCTATGCCGACAATGTAGCCTCGTCGCCTTACCAAGGAGAGGTATGCAAAAGCCAAGGATATACTGAAGCAAGCCTTGATAGAGCGAAATACGTCAATGTTTTTAGTTACTAGTGAGGAAACAATGATGGCACACCCATGTAATGGCCAGACTTAGTACGTACACTTTCCGCAGTACCCACAGTCCTCAGCAGAACACGCAGTGTAGTCTGGCTCAGAACCCGAGTCGTCGTCGTAGCCACTGCCAAACCCATACCTTGCATCAATATCGACACCGCCATCATTGTATTCGTCCTCATCAGAAGCATCATCCTGAGGAACAGAGGCACCGAACTCTGCCTTCTCCCACCTGTCAACCAAGTCTGTAGGCAACGCGTGTACGCCGTCGCCGTACTGTTTTCGGACCTCTAAGCGATCCGCTCCGGGGCAATACACTTCGAGCAACTTGTTTGTACTGTTCTTGGCGATGTCAACAATCTCATTGAGCAGTGTTGCGAAGCGGCGGATACCGTCTCTATTCTCTCGGACCCAGGCTCGCACATCGCTCTTGACATCTTGTACCTGTATGTCTTCGAAAAGGCCATGGCCGTCGTGGTAGGCAACGATGAATTTGGATATCTGTTTCATCCAGAGCGCCGGGTAGATGTCGGTCATGTCGATGGGTTTCTTGTATTTGCCTGAGCGTGTCTTCAGGTCAAAGATGGAGTGATGCGGTACTGTAGATCCGCGGTGTTCGATCTTGAGCTTTTCCGGCTTACCCATCGCGTTGCTGGGCGAACGGCCGATGGCTGCTTGCTGGAATGCTTGCAGAAGCTCATCTTGGTCCCCAGCAGTCTGTGCGGGCGCGACATCACGGACTGCTAGGGAGTCATCAATGTAGCCGTCGCTTTCGAAGCGTACAAGACACTCCAAGCCGCCAAACTCATATCGTGTGATGCGCTGGTGTGTCTCAGAACCCTTAACACTATGCTCCCATGTGGTGTATGCTTCTGGAAACGTATGACCAAAGCCTCTGATATCCTTGATAACTTCTTTGGGGTCGTTCTCTTTCCGTACAAAGAAGACAGTCTCGCCAATGACCTCGATATTAAACCGAAAGGCTTTGTCGACACCGCGAGCGAAGCGCAGGAGGTTGCCAAGGGTGCTTCCGCATGCGAAGACATCGGTGTTCGTAGCGTCGAATTCGGGGTCGGTCTCTGTAATAGCATGTACGACGGGTGCCATGGGGAAGTCGGGATACTTTGCAGCATTGGGGTCGCGAAAGTACTGTCCGTCGTCTTCTTTCAAACGCTGTGGAGCTTGGAGTGGTGTCCAGCGAGGAGGTTTACCTAAAACTGTCAGTTCCATCTGGTATGCAGACTACAGCAAGATGAAAACGTGCAAAGTGGGCGGGCTAACGTCCATGTAGGCACAAAAAGAAGCCTTACCTGGAACGACGATGGTAGGTACCTCGTCATTGAGCCAGTTGTACGACGCGACATGTTGGCAATTCGATATCTCCGCCGAGTCGATTGATTTCAGACTCAGATCGGAGCTGCGAAACACTTTCACAGGGTCTCCAAGCGGATGTGTCTGGAGATCCAGTTTTGGCTGCTCTCTGTTCTTTGCGAAGTGAGGCGCTCTTCCTCCGCGGCCTCGCCCTCTGCGTGGAGCCCAGCCACCTCTGCCGCTGCCTGAAAACGAAGCCATATTGCGGAAATGTACTGACTAGTTTCGAAATTGTGAATTGCGAGGCTGAGTTATGCGCTGGATGGAAAGCGACACGCCGGCTTCAAGTATGGCATGCTGCCTAGACAAGGCTGAGTTCGTGTGGCGCTGTTTGCTCAACATGCAGGTCGCACAGCGCATGCCTGTAGGCCTCAATTCGTCCAGAGCTCACCAGAACATGCAGGCAGACAAAGATTGATGCCTCGCCGCATAACAAAGCGTGAGTCTCTTCCAATCATTCGCACAGCCCGTTATCAGAGAATCATCGCGCATGCGCTGGGGTCTGGGTGCGACCTCCCGGCTACCCATTCAGCAACCTCAAAAGAGCCAAAGGCCCCCTTGAAGAGCGATAGAATATCGGCAGATATCAGCTTGTCTTGATAAATCTATTTTCAACAGTTAATACTTTACACGTGACAAACCTCCTTCATGGCGGACCAGGACGCCGCGAAGCGTGCCACAGGGCTGACGAAGCTCTTCAACGCTATCATCCACGGTCATCGCGAGATTAAGACAGCGGGTGATAGTAATCGATTTCTGGAGGCGTTGTGTGCTCAGGAAGACGCGTCGAAGTGTGTTGAGTGTCTGATCGCGTCTTCGGCAGGGCTAGCGGCCGTCGGCGTTGCCTTCCGCACCACCGGGGACAGCGCGTTCCTCAACGGTTGGGCAACCGCCGCCATCAATCATCTGGCCCAGCCATCTGTCAAGCAACTCTACGGCGGCCAGTTTCTACAGCGCGTCCTCGAACAGATCGTCCAGCCTCCTACATTCTGGAACACCTTTGTGAACGCGCATGATGGTCACGTGCTTTCCAGCGATGGCACTCGCGCGTTCGCGTGGCTGCTCCTCGAGCTGCTATACAGCCGCTCTGAGGAGATCCCAGATGTGCGAGACGTCGCAGAACGCGTCACGAAGCATGGGTCCTTCATCGATTCAGATTCGCTGGATATTCGCAACATTGGGCACAAGATCAAGCATGTCCTAGACAGCACATTCGACCAGTCGGTCGATGGCCCAGGCGGGCGACACGACAACGACTTCGCGCAAATCCACAAGATCAAGCTTTTACCGACGCCAGACGAATTCGCATCTTCCGAGCATCCATTCTACAGACGCGCTGATTCCATCGTCTCTGTCACCCCGGAGAGCCGTGGTCTTACCCATGTTGACAACCAATTTCGCTTACTCCGCGAGGATCTTCTCGGGGAGCTACGTAACGACTTTCAGATTGCCAGTGGTCAGAAGAAAGGTCGACGTAAAGTGGTTCTCGAACACCTGCAATATGCCGGTATCGACTGCGGACCAGAGGCGAAACCCAAGCCTTGCGCGCTGCAACTTCTTTGTCCAGACGACGTTCCTCAGCTGCGCAACGTCAAACCCGCGAACCGCAAGAAGTTCCTCGCCGACAACAAGAACGTCCTGAAGCATCAGTCACTGGGCTGTCTCATCAGCAACGGTAACATTGTTGCGTTTGCAACTGTGGACCGTGATGAAGATCTCCTTGCGAAGCAACCTGCTGTTGTAGTGCTGCGAGTGGCCGACGCCAGCTCGTTTGGCAAAGTGCTGATGGCATGCAAGCTCCAATCTGACCTTTGCTTTGTGCAGGTAGATACTGCTGTATTTGCGTATGAGCCTGTCCTGAAATGTCTTCAGGACCTGACTGAACTGCCACTAGAAGACCAGCTCCTTAGTCTTACGCCAGACTCCGCGGAAACCCCGTCCGGCATCCAACCGACAAAGACTGTCAACGCCATTCGCGACCACTGGGAAGAGGACCTTCAAGACATCATCGGAAGCACTCATCCAATCAAGCTCGACCAGGCCCAAGCAGAGTCACTGCTGACTGGTCTTGTAAAGAGAGTCAGTCTGATCCAAGGCCCACCAGGTACAGGCAAAAGTTTCATCGGAGCACTCATCGCAAAGATATTGCACGATCGTACCAATGAGACGATGCTCATTCTCACTTACACGAATCATGCTCTGGATCAATTCCTGGAAGATATCCAAAAGGCTGGCATCCCTGCTAGTTCGATCGTGCGGCTGGGATCAAAGTCGAATGCCAACACTCGCGCACTGACCATCAGAGAACAACCAAACAACTACAAGATGACGGGACAAACATGGACCATGATTCAAGATCAAAAGTCTGAAGCGGAATCTTACCATGACGCACTAGTCAGGAGGATGACATCTTTTACGTCTATGCGGCTCAATGAGCAGATGCTCCTAGACTACTTAGAGTTCTCGGATGATTCAGAATACTTCGATGCGTTTGTTGTGCCCGACAATAAAGACGGTATGACAGTTATGGGGAAAAAGAATAAACGCATCGACAAGTACTACCTAGTCAGGAGATGGGTCAATGGAGAAGACGCTGGCATCTTCCTTGGTCATGCGATGCAAACATATCCACACGTTTGGAATGTTCCTCCGCAGATCCGTCTTGGACTTCAGGCGCAGTGGAACAAGACGATACTTGAAGAGCGGGTCACCGAAATAAGCACACTTGCCAACAAGTACAACAAATGCTGTGCCCAGGTCGTTCGACTATTTCGCGAGAAGAACTTTCACGTGCTCAGTCAGAGACGCATCATCGGATGCACTACCACAGCAGCTGCTATGTACACCGAAGAGATCCGCAAGGCCTCACCAGGCATTGTTCTGGTGGAAGAAGCTGGAGAGATCCTGGAGAGTCATGTGCTTACAGCTCTAACCCCAACCACGAAGCAGCTCATCCTGATCGGCGATCACAAACAGCTGCGGCCAAAAGTCAACAACTATGCCTTGACTGTAGAAAAAGGAGATGGCTACGATCTCAATGTCTCTCTGTTCGAACGTCTCGTGCTCAGCGGAGTTCCACATACCACGCTCAGCAAGCAGCATCGTATGCGCCCGGAGATCTCGTCCCTCGTTCGGTCGCTCACATATCCGGAATTGGAAGACGCAGAGAAGACTCAAGGTCGACCGAACTTACGTGGTCTTCAAAGCAACGTTATATTCGTGTCACATTCGCGCCCTGAGCTCAACGCGGTACAGATTGCCGACGGCCGCGATGGAGGTGCTAAGTCCAGCAAGGAAAACTTGTACGAGGCTGAGATGGTGCTGAAATGCGTGCGGTACCTTGGTCAGCAGGGCTACGGTACGGAAGACATTGTGGTGCTGACTCCTTACCTGGGTCAACTATACCTGTTGATGAACACTCTGTCTAAAGACAATGACCCCATTTTAAACGATCTGGATTCCTACGAGCTCATCAAAGCGGGTCTAATGACGCCGGCTGGCGCGAACATTTCCAAACGCAAGCTTCGCATTTCAACTATCGACAACTATCAAGGTGAAGAGAGCGATATCGTAATTGCATGTCTCACACGCAGTAACGATGCTGGGGATATCGGTTTCATGTCGTCTCCTCAGCGAGTCAACGTGTTGCTATCACGAGCGCGAAACGGTTTGATCATGATCGGCAACGCAGACACTTTTATGAACAGTCGCAAAGGCAAGGAAGTATGGGTACCGCTTATGGACCAGCTGAAGCGAGACGGCCATGTCTACGACGGCTTTCCTGTCAAATGCGAGCAGCATCCCGAAAAGACCGCGCTTCTAACCGAGAAAGAACAATTCGATACGGTGTGTCCAGACGGCGGCTGCTCTGAACCATGTGGCAAACTACTCAACTGCGGACTGCATGCTTGTCCCCGTCAATGTCATCAGTTGCAAGACCATTCACGAATGGATTGCAATGTCATCATCTCCTCAACATGCCCTAGTAAGCACAAGACCACTCGAAAGTGCCATGACAACGCGCCAGCGCACTGTCGGAAATGTGAAGCCGAAGTGCGAGCCAAGGAAAAGAAGCGGCAACGCGACCACGAGCTAGACGAACAACGAGAGGCCAAACAACGTGCATATGCCGCTCGTTTAGTCGAGATTGAGGAAGAGATGGAGCACCAGAAGCGCCTTCTGAAAGAGCAGGCCGAGGAAAGAGACCGCCAGCAAGCGCTGGAGCAGAAGAAGCAAGATCTTCGCAACCTGCAGGAGAGGGTCAAGAAATCCAAAAACGCTCCAGTGCCAGCACCTTCGACATCTACTACTACGCCGGTCCCACCATCCGATACTGCCAAACAACAAGGCAATAAACCAGCGCCAAGTACAACGACTGATCACCGTGACGATACCCCGACCAATGACGGATCCACGTCGTCAGATTCGGACGAGGACCAGCCTGATTGGGACAAGAGTGAAGCCAGAGATGATTGGGAATGGCAGAAGAAATTTGAGGGTGCGGAAAACGAAGCTCTCGACTCTCTGGTACCTATGATAGGGCTAGAATCCGTCAAGCAGCAGTTCCTCGCGATCAAAGCTAAAGTTGATACGGTCGTACGTCAGGGCGTATCACTTAAGGGGGAGCGTTTCGGTGCTGCCCTGCTAGGCAACCCTGGAACAGGGAAGACGACTGTGGCTAGGCACTACGCTAAGTTTCTGGTTGAGGTAGGAGCTTTGCCTGGTGGCCATTTCATTGAGAGCTCCGGATCAGCTCTTGCGAATGACGGCGTATCCGCTTGCAAGACCCACATTGATGACATACTCCAAGCAGGAGGTGGTGTATTCTTCATCGATGAAGCGTATCAGCTGGTATCTGGAAACAGTCCCGGCGGCAAAGCAGTGCTGGATTACCTGCTCGCTGAGATGGAGAATTTGACTGGCAAAGTCGTCTTTGTTCTCGCAGGCTACCACAAGCAGATGGAAGCCTTCTTCTCCCACAACCCCGGCATCCCGAGCCGCATACCAATCCGAATGGAGTTCCAGGACTACGAAGACCGCGAGCTACAGCAGATCTTTTGCCAGTACATTGACAAGAAGTATTCCGGACGCATGAAGATTGAAGACGGAATGAAAGGCCTGTACGTACGTATCGTTGCGCGGCGCATCGGTCGTGGTCGCGGCCGCGATGGCTTCGGTAACGCCCGCGAAGTCCAGAACAAGATCGCACAGATTACCGAACGCCAGGCCAAGCGACTGCGCAAAGCAAGAAAAGCCGGCACGATGCCGGATGACTACCTTCTTACCAAGGAGGATCTGATTGGTCCGGAGCCTTCGTCTGTGCTCAAGAATAACGCGGCGTGGTCAAAGCTACAGAAGCTCACTGGCTTGGCCTCAGTCAAGGAGTCGGTACGAGTACTTCTCGACGGTATACAAACCAACTACCAGCTCGAGCTGAAGGAGAAGCCCATTATCCAGTATTCACTAAACCGTTGCTTCGTCGGTTCCCCAGGAACTGGAAAGACCACCGTAGCCAAACTCTACGGTCGCGTTCTGGCCGACATTGGACTTCTTTCGCTTGGCGAGGTCATCGTAAAGAACCCAGCAGACTTCGTCGGGAACGTCATAGGAGGCTCAGAAGCCAACACCAAAGCCATTCTGGCTTCCACAGTCGGTAAAGTTCTCATCATCGATGAGGCTTACATGCTTGCTAAAGCTAGCGGTCCCAACGGCGGCGACCCTTTCAAAGCCGCAGTCATTGACACCATCGTTGCCGAAGTTCAGAGCACCGCAGGCGAAGACCGATGTGTGTTGCTGCTAGGATACAAAGACCAAATGGAAGACATGTTTCGAGATGTCAATCCCGGCCTTGCGAGGCGGTTCCCACTCGAATCCGCGTTTGTGTTTGAGGACTTTAACGACACTGAGATCCGTCAGATCTTTGACTTCAAGCTCAAGGGCATTGGATTTGATGCGAAAGACCAAGCCAAGAAGGTAAGGTGGCATGTCAACTTTGATGCATTCTCACTAACACATTTCGTTCTAGGTCGCCATGGAAGTCATTCAACGCGCGCGCAATCGTCCAAACTTCGGCAACGCAGGCGAGGTCGATATCCTCCTGGATCGCGCGAAGGCGTTACATCAGAAGCACATATCCTCGGGCAAAGTCAAGCAATTTGGCACTTTCGAAGCCGTTGACTTTGATCCTGATTTCGATCGCGGTACTCGTGCAGCCACCGAAGTTTCGGCTCTATTCCAAGATGTTGTAGGGTGCGAGGATCTGATCAAGCAGTTCCAGGGTTACCAAACCACGGCTGCCAACATGAAGGCTCTTGGAATGGACCCTCGAGAGCAGATACCTTTCAACTTCCTCTTCAAGGGTCCGCCAGGTACCGGCAAGACTACTACGGCTGCAAAGATGGGCAAGATCTTCTACGACATGGGCTTTCTCAGTCAGGCGAAAGTGGAAGAATGTTCCGCTACCGATTTGGTCGGCCAGTACGTTGGGCATACAGGGCCGAAGGTTCAGAAGCTCATGGAGAAAGCCCTGGGTAAGGTACTTTTCATCGACGAAGCCTACCGTCTAGCAGAGGGCCACTTCGCCACCGAAGCAATGGATGAGCTAGTCGATTGCCTCACCAAACCCAAGTATGCGCAGAAACTCGTTGTCATTCTGGCCGGTTACGACAAGGATATTGACCGACTGATGAGTATGAACCCCGGACTTACCAGTCGCTTTCCCGAAACAGTCATGTTCAAGCACATCGACCCAGAAACATGTCTGAAGCTCCTTGTCAAAGTACTATCGGATCTGCAGAAGAAGAAGAAAGCGCCACTCGATCTCTCGATCATCGATCCGCCATCATCGCAACTACGCCAGCAGCTACTGGACCTCTTTGGCAGGTTATCGGTCCTTGAGTCCTGGGGCAACGCTCGCGACGTCAAATCGCTCGCGAAGAGCATGTTTCAAGCACTCATCTCTACGGCCGTGCCTCCCATCACTAGCCTCGTACTCACTGAACCTATTATCATTCGTACTATGGAAGACATGATAGGCGAACGTTCACGGCGGCATGCCGCAGCAGGCACGAGCCGGTCAGGAAAGCGAATGCCCAATCGCCCTATGCCTCCACCACAGACGCAGAACCCGACGCCACCCAGTGCGCAAGGCTCAAACACCTCGACAAATACCGCAGCCCAACCACCAACAGCCGGCACCAATACGGACAAACCGGAAGACGAGAAGAAGTCAACGGAAAAGAAGACCGAGCCCGCAACAGAGCCTGAAGACCCGTTCGCTTCCATCTTCAAAGTCAAGCGCGACGCAGGTGTTTCCGACGAAGTATGGGAGCAGCTCGAGCGCGATAAGCACGCCATGGTGGCCAAAGAAAACGAATACCGCCAGCTTCAAGAAGACAAGCGCCAGTATGAGGAGCAGATCAAGGAATTCATACGTGCCGAGAAGGCAGCTGCCGACGAGGAGGAGCGACGTATCCGCGAGCAAGCGCGTATAGCAGCGGAACTAGAGAGACGACGCCGCGACGAGGAACTGGCAGCCGTTGAGAAGGCGCGACAAAAAGAGATGGAGAGGCAGAAGAAGCTGAAGGTAATGGGACCATGTCCGATGGGGTACATGTGGATCAAGCAGCATAGCGGGTATAGATGTGCGGGTGGGAGTCATACGCTGTCTGACGCCCAGATCGACGCGTATTGTCGCTGAGAGAGAATGTGTCTGTTTTATACAGCAATGCAGAAAGTTGATTGCACAATTCATATCGTTCGTTGCCAACCGAAAGTAATACAAGAGAACATCATTTCTCATTAATTATTCCTCCGACCATTCACAACAATATTACCCCAAATATCTATCTTCCTCAACGGAACACTCGCGACATTACACTCCTTCGCCAAAGCCGCAGCCGAACTCACACCCTGCCCACGCTTATCCTCAAACTTGTCCGTTCGTGGGCTATCCGGCCACTGGAAAGTCACCATAATATCGCGACTAGCAGCAGCCAATTTACTCGCTTCCATGAGCCCGTCTGCCCTGTCTCCACCCGCCTCTCTGCCAAATCCAAATCGCTGCGGCGACAACGGAGTATCATCTTGCGGCTTGATACTCTGCCCGTAGAAGACCAGCGGCAAGATACTGTCTTTCCAGATTGGCACGCTATGCCGTCTTCTCCAGTTTGTGATATTGACCCAAACGGAAAGAATGCATGTAGCAACAGTAAGACAGATAGGAAACAAAAGCCATTTCAACCGCATCTCCACACACACTTTCGTCTCCCACGCAAGCCCATACACCACATCCAAAGGCGGGTCGTGCGCGCCGTAGCTGAAATCCCGCGTTGTAGCGCTGCCGTACTGGAACCGAAACCGGTTAGTCATGGCATTCGCCACGGCATCAAAGAGTTTCGTGACATTGGCATGCGTCGAGCTACCCTCCGTTTCTACCAGCGGCCGCAGTACGGCATTAACGCCTATATGCGCCAGATTAGACTGACTTTCCAACTGGCAAAACTCGCTAGTCTTGCAGCTCTTGAAGCAATCAAAAGTTTTATACGACTGGCAATACCCATCGAAAATATCGTCATTCATAACCATAGCCACCGCTTTGACAAACTCGGCGGGTTGCCGGTAAATACACTGTTCCGGCCACGTCATATTCTCAAACGTGTACTTGTCGTGCGTGAAGTCGAAGAGCTGCAGTTCCGCCGTCGCGGTGCCTTCGGGGATGAAACCGCCTTTGTATAGCGTCCACGGACCTACTCGGCACGGCTCGCGTCTTGTTGTGTATTCGTATTCCGTGTTGGAGAGGCTGTTTCTGGAAGTGGGCAGGTCGAGTTCTTCGTGGTGGGCGCCGCTGATTTGGAGGCGCATGGCTGAGGAGGGGGCTTCCCATTCGTGGAGCTCGGAGTCCTTGATTATGCTTTTGTAGGTGCGTGTGCATGGGTATAGACTGCATACTGATGCGGCGATGGGGGTACTGGCTATGTTGAGGAGGGTTGCGTTGACGTAGGCCCATCTGGATGCTTCTCTGACGCTGTCGGTTAGGAGACTGCCCATCCATGTGAGGTCCGGAGTTGGTTTCATGGTCGAGACTTCGAAATGGCCGGCTCCTACTGATAGGTTCAAGCCGCTTGGCAGGGAGTGGACTGTGTTGTTACTCCACTCTGTACTCTCGATCTTGCTCGTCACTAATGACGCCACGTTTGTGCATACGTTGCACACCCCAACCGTCGAATGCATGCTCTGATTAGAGTCGAAGAATGCTTTCTCCAGCTCTGGTCTGGGACCCAGATTACTGAAAGTACAGTTTCCCGTAGGGCAGCTTGTGCGAATCTTATTCTCAATGCCGTAGGGCGATACGACACTGGATAGGATTGCGGCAACAAGGTCGGTTGTGGGGCCTCCGTCTGAACCACCTGTAAAAGGGATGTAGCCACCACTCCCAGGTACATTGTGAGCGAAAGGAAGTGACGCATTGAGCGTAGCGCTAGGAAACGAGCATGGCGCCGCACCATTAGCCTGTTGAGCAAAAGGTCCCACCAAGAACGACAGTAGCAACACGACCGCAGCAGCCAGTGTCACAAAATCCTTGAGAAAAACAGTCGGAATGAGAAGCAACGCCCCATAAGCCCCGCGGCTCCCGTAGTCGAATCGTTGGATATCTGACAACGGCCGGGCGCTCGTGACGCTGAACCAGTCCCATTTCCTCTGCGATATGATCTGCGCAACGGTGACGACTAGTAGGGCTCGCAGAACTGTTGATAAAAGAGCGACGAGAGCGTTTAGATTGAGGTCGTCACCCCAGTCCGGTACGGGTTTGCCGTCGTATACTGCTAGGATGCCTGCGATTGAGGCTACTAAGCCGATCGCGCAGGCTATAGTGAGGGTTTCTCCAGCCCAGGTGCGGAATACGTAGCAAGACTCCATTTTTTGGTGTGGAAAGAGACTGGATAAGTGCGAAGACGCAAGCATATGTGGTGCTAATGGAAGGCTCGAACTCGAAGTTAAAGATGGACATTCCTGCAAGGAGTCACGCGACCGTTCAAGCAGCCAGACTATGCACTCGTACCTGCTTTCCTTTGTCCTCCACGGTCTGTAGAAGCGGCCGTAAGAACTCGGCTAATACATCAGTCGCTCTACCAAGTGTGGCATGATGAAACGTAACAAAGAACTCACGTCATAGCACTGCATGCGTCCGTTTGTGCAGGAAGTAAGGCAATTGGCTATTTCCGCCATACTATACGCAAACATGATCATAAACTGAAGATATCGCATTCATGGAGATGTGTAGTCATTCCGCTCTTCGGACTACAGGCAGATTTAGTGTCGAAATAATAACACCAAGCAGTACCGCGGAGCATTCGATGTATTTCTCGCTGTGATACCTACAAAGCGCTATTCATCCTATGCTTCCCGGTACACGATATTCAACAGCTCCAGTCTGATATGAACCAGTTTCTTTCCTTCACAAACCCATATGATACTGCGTCGCCACCATCTCCAACCAACGTAGTCGTCCACCGCTCACTCACTCCTGCCGCGCAAACTTCTTCAACCCCGGCGGCGCAAGCCTCAATTCCCAATCCCCATACAACGACCTCCTCATATCATCCCAGATATGCACAATATGCGCGCGTGTGATATTATCATCTGCCTTCTCGAACATCTTATGCATCCAATCCATAGTGGTAGCTCTACTGTACCCCAGTACGCCCAACTCCTTCATGCTGAGCTTGCCATATTCGAATGCTACTGGAACAGCCATCTCGGCAGTACATGCGTTGAGGAGATTGCCGTAGCCATCGATCCAGAGATTGGGGAAAGACAACAAGTCATCAAGTATGGCTTCGACGGTTGATGGACCAGGGCACTCGGAAAGTTCTTCGTCGTGAATGAGGAGAACGTCGGATAGGAGGAGGAAGACCTGCCGCTGGAGTTTGGCGGTTGAGATGATGGTGACTTGTTGTGGTGCGCCGGTGCTCGTAGGGGGAATGAGTGTTAGGCGGAGCGTGGATTCGGAGTGTAGTTGATCGGTACGAAGTACAGTCATCAAACCTTTGATGTCGACTCGGATAGCAGATAGTATGGTTGCTTTTCGAGGTTGGATTTCCACTAGAATGGTTTGTGGGTTGGATGTTCGCCAGCATTTTCTCATTATCTTGAGAACGTACGGAATATGATCAAAGCAAGAGAAATCATCTCCTAGCTTGTCGAAGTCCTCAAGATCTGTGATAATTTGATGGCTCGTCACCTTCAAGGTGATGTGATTCAGGCGTGCCAACTGTTCTCCTAGCGAATGCGGGTGGAGTACGCCTGCGTGATGGAGATTGAAGTCGAGACCGTGTACAGTGTGTTCGGTCAAGTCAATCGTAATTGCGTTTGTTTGGCGCAATACCAACTCTGCTATCCGTTCTCGCGTCCCATCTAGTAGGGTGTGGAATGGGTTGTGATGCTTCTTCTTTGGCTTCCATTGAAGCTTTTTGCCTTGTTCAAGTACGACAAACGACCGCGAGTCTCTTCCTTCTCCTCCTTCCTTGAAACGGAAGCCCATAGAACCGATTGGTGGGAATCGAGTAAATGAATGTATGCTAACATAATCCATGAGACGGTTAGACTTGCGATACTTGCGGATGTCGAGAACGTCGTCCCTCGCCAAGGCCGTAAACAAGTTATTAAGGAAGGTTGCGATGTCAATGGGCGTCAGCTTTAACCCATCATCCATCTTGCCGTTGAGCTCATGACAGACTGGTAATCTGCCAGTGCTTTCGAATGAGAGTACGTTGAAGAAGTCCGCATTCTTCCAGACAAGACGTACCAGAGGCAGGAGCTCGATCCTCTCATTGCCCCAACATCGGCCCCAACCACACATCGTGTCTGTATCGATGATGACATCCTTGAGGTAGCAGAACTGCGATCCAATTGTGTTTAGCCATTGAGCTGCGTAGTTGACCTGGAAGTAGTCCTCATCTTCGTGCAGAGTGTCCAGAGAGTCATCGTCCGCATGGTGAAGTTGAAGCACTCTGGAGAATACAAAGGTGTTGCCGCCGTATAGAATTCCGGAAGCTTCGTCGTGTATCTGGCGGCAAGACGATAGCAAAGCGAGGCCTTGGTGGAAATCATGTCGGAAGACGTCATCGGTTCCAACTTCAGCCTCGTAGCTGCTGTAGTACACTTGTAAGCGTCGGTCATCGGCTTTTTGGGGGTCGGGCCAGCCGTTATACACTTTCAGTGACGGTCCTGCCTCGTGGAATGAATCCCGATTATGCAGTAGGACTGGATCGTCGCGTTCGAACAGCCATTCGTAGATGCAATTACGAAGTTCAGGGGGTAGCGTAATCAGCAAGGACACCGCAGATGGATCAGCCGGAGACGAGGTACGGTTTGTAGGAGTCTGCATGATGTGGATATCGATCAATTGGTCGTAGTACTGCCAGTGTAGTCGGTAAGATAGTGTGGTGCTTCTGGACAGTGGGTAGAGTACGACCAATATGTATTCTCTACAGGCAGGCGCGCCAGGCCACCACTCTAAACACAGAAAGAGCGCACGGACCGATGATGAAGGTGACGCCATTCAAAAGAGACCGTGTCGAGTACCGTGTAGTACCGTGTACGACAGCAGAAACGAGTCCTTGATACACGAGGCCTTCAGCTTCTCGTAGCAAGCCCATACAACCACATTAACCAGTCACCCCACAAGCAAACACCCAAACAAGCCGCATCAATACACACACATGTGTTCATTATCCTTCATTACAGTAGGGTGTAGATGCAGAGCAGGACAACAAAACGCGGTTAGGTAACTCTACATGTTGTTCTTGATGCAGGTGTAATTCCTAAACACCTTGTACTCGCTGTATGCAGCTGTTAGAAATGATGAAACTCTCTCTGTGACGTTTGTCGTGGACTTTGTGCTGCAACGACGACGACGACGACGACGACGACGACGACGTGCTTGTAGAGCGATTTATTATCCTTCATATCCTCCATATCCTCCATACTCAACACATTCCCTAATCATAAAACCCCAAAATCTTATTCGCCCGATCCAAAATAACCCTCTCCCCCGGCCCCAACCCCTCTGCATCACTATCCCACTCTTGTAACCCCATAGCCCTCCTCCCCTCCTCTTCCACTAAACCCTCCATCTCCCTTGCTGTGACCCTCCCAACATGTTCACTCTCCCCCACACCGCCACCGAAATCCGGGCTCGGAGTACCAGCAAGAAACGTTTCGCGTTGACGAACAAGGTAATTCGCATTATCCTCCGTCATGGGACAAGCGGGTATATAAAGGACGCTGGAGTCAGAGGATCCGGCGTGCGTTTTGTCAACGCTGTGAATGGTGTCGCAATGCCAGGCTACATAGTCACCCGGCCTGACCTCCGGCATATGAATCATGGACTCTTGCAGGTTGAGATGCGGGTGTAGCAAATGAGACAGTTCCTGGCCGCGACCCGGTGTTGCGCCGTGGACCCATGCGTTTTGTGTCTTATCCATTTCCCAGTTGTCTGAGGCGAGGAAATCGGCGGAGTTTGTGGTGGATGAGGAGGTTGTTTGCGCGCCTGGCTCGACGCCGCGTTTGGGGGAGAAGAAGGGGCGGAGGAGATAGTATGCTGTTGCTTTTGCCAACAGTGGGTTGACGAGGAGTGTGCCTTCAAACGGACCCGTTGTAGACAACGAGAGCCAGCCTTGGAACATGCGGAATGCGCTGCATGCTCCTACACCCTGGTGCAGGTCCGAAATAACGGGCAGACGACAACTAGCTTCCCAGGGATCGAATTCTTCCCATCGCCCTTTCCATACAGAGTCGTAAACTTTGCCTAGCCCGTAGCCTTCTTCGTCCCAGCGTTCTACGCTGCCGCCGTCGACGTGGGGGCCTAGGGCGAACTTGGCGTCGCCGGGGAGGCGCATGCGCAGGCGGTCGGCGTAGCTTATGGGGTGTTTTGTGGAGAGCGGGATGTGGGGGTTTAGGCTGTGCCAGTAGGACATGAGGAAGGATTGCGTCTTGAGGAGGTTCGGGTTGCCGCGGGCGAGGAGCTGGGTGCGCGACCAGTATAGTTCGAAGACTTGGGGGTTGTCGGCGGGGAAGGCTGCAGGATGGTTAGTTATGTGTGTATTTTTGGGATGCGCGCAGATGTACCTTTTGTCTGAGGGTTCTGGCGAATGTACTCTCTCAGGTCTTCTTTCCATTGCAGCGCTTCTTGCTCTGGTACCACATTCCGGATAACGGCGACACCTCTCTTCCGCAGTTCACTGCTGAAAGACTCCGGCGCATTGTCGATATCCTTGAAATCAATCTCTGGGATAACCTGACTGCCACGCTCAACAATCAGCGGAATCTCCTCGCGCAGATCTCGAAGGAGGCGTTCCCAAGATTCTCGCACTTCGGCTTCGTGCCCACGGATCAGACGGCTCTTGAGGTCCGCATATTCTGCCGTCAGAGGTGTGAACTCCTGTCCTGAGAGCGATGCGAAAGCGTCGGATATGTCGCCTGCGCGTTTTTGAGCTTGTGTCGCGGCGGTGCGCAATTGTGTGACGGCGCGTCTCGTCGGAGATCGGATGGTTCGGAGCGCGGAGAGCATCGCGGAGGTATCGTATGGAGATTATTCGACTGTTCGATACTGTATCATGGCTTTCTCATCCCCAGAAGCCGCCCATTATATACTGCTGCTTGCGCCGAGGTTGCACCAGCGTTCAGTGTAGTTCCGACAGTGTAGTGAAGCTCAAGCTGTCGAGAGAAGATACTGTACATTCGGAAGCTCTTCTCGACTGGGTATAGCGCCTTCTTTGAGCTCTGCCAGTCCACCATCCCCGTAACTACCACTACATGTAGAGCATCGTTCCCGACGACTCCATCTTAGACCGTCATCAGCTCTTAGGTTCGCGAATGAGGCGATGAGGAACATGCACTTCGGCGCGACTTGGTAGACGGGTGCCCTGGAGTGGTCGCGCGGGAAACGGCCGCCAGACCCAATACCCCGCCATCCCACTCCTCCAAGCATCACCTTGCGCCCAAGATGACTTCCGCGCTGCAGCCTAGCAGGTTAATAGGCAGGCTGAATCAACGGGCCGCTGTTCCACTGACCGCCTTCATCATCGAGGACCCTCATGGGCAGAATCGACGTAAAAGTGTAGCTTCGTCATGTGGGATGAAGCTATAACACTCAAGTGATCGTGACTATGAGCGGGGTCGCTGGACCCAGGAGCCATTGAGAAGGCGGAGAATGCGACGTCCAGCCCGCTTGAGCTCGACGGAGCCGTACCAAGTTCCTCATATGTCTTACTGCGCGTCGATTAAGGTCTTGTCGACGCGTGAGGACGGTTACGGCGGGACGTTCTCCGCAGCCTTTTTGCTGTGTCCACGTATATAGAAGTATACCTGTCCCGTTGCTGCGGGTTGCTTTCTGCTTCTCTAGATTGTCAGCGTAAGCACCTCTGACAATAAGACTGCTTGAACCGCAATCAAAACCATCATGTCGCAGTCGTATCTGCCGAAGGAATTCCTGTGGGGATTCGCAACAGCCAGGTTCGTCTGATTCTCAGGACCGATTTCTCCACTCCCCAAATTGTACCCCGCCAACGGAGATATACGGTTTGGAGGGCGCCACATTGTTGTCACATACTGAGTTTCTGAACCCGCAGTTACCAAATCGAAGGCGCACCGCATGAAGATGGCCGCGCCGATTCCATTTGGGACACGTTCTGCCGCATCCCGGGCAAGATTGCTGGCGGAGAATCCGGAGATGTTGCATGCGATTCCTACCACCGCACTGACGAGGACATTGCCCTCTTGAAAGATATCGGCGCAAAATCATACCGCTTTTCGCTCTCGTGGTCCCGCATCATACCGCTCGGCGGACGCAACGACCCCGTAAACGAAAAAGGTCTGCAGTACTACATCAACTTGGTCGACGATCTCCGTGCCGCAGGCATCGAGCCGATGATAACGCTGTTTCATTGGGATCTCCCAGACAACCTGCACAAGCGATATGGGGGCATGCTGAACAAGGACGAGTTCGTGAAGGATTACGAGAACTACGCCAGGGTGTGTTTCAAGGCTTTCGGTTCGAAGGTAAAATATTGGATCACCTTCAACGAGCCATGGTGCAGCTCTATTCTCGGCTATGGCACCGGCCTCTTTGCTCCCGGTCGTTGCAGTGACCGGACCAAGAGCGCTGAAGGTGACAGCTCGCGGGAGCCGTGGATCGTCGGCCACTCGCTCCTCATTGCCCATGGTGCGGCGGTCAAGGCCTACCGTGATGACTTCAAGGCCAAGGATGGAGGCCAGATTGGGATTACGCTCAATGGTAAGTGACCAGCACGTGGCTCGCGTAGAAGGTGTGGGTACCACGCATATCGAAGGCCGTGCCAGGGTAGTAAAAATCGGCCTCACGTCTGAGCATGAATATGACAAGCTGATATGCCGTTTCTAGGCGACTGGACAGAACCGTGGGATCCAGAAGACCCGAAGGATCGCGAGGCCTGCGACCGCAAGATCGAATTTGCCATTTGCTGGTTCGGCGACCCAGTGTACTTTGGCAAGTACCCAGACTCGATGCGCAAGCAACTGGGCGATCGCCTTCCCGACTTCACACCGGAAGAAGCGGCTCTCGTCAAGGGAAGCAATGACTTCTATGGCATGAACCACTACTGCGCCAATTATATTAGACACAAGGAGACTGAGCCTGAGCCTGAAGATCATGTTGGCAATATGGACATTCTTTACCAGAACAAGAAGGGCGAATGGATTGGCCCAGAGACTCAATCCGTCTGGCTGAGGCCAATGCCTTTGGGTTTCAGAAAGCTAATCAAGTGGCTCAGTGATAGGTACGGCGGCCCGACCTTCTATGTGACGGAGAACGGAACCAGTCTCAAGGGGGAGAACGATCTCCCTCTTGAGAAGTTGCTCGACGACGAGTTCCGTTGCGAATACTTCAGGGGATACATTGGAGCCTTGGCTGATGCTCACACCTTGGACGGTGTCGATGTCAGGGGCTACTCAGCTTGGAGTCTCATGGAGTGAGTAATCCCGTTTCTTGACGTCTACCCTGACCCCCACTTGTCATCAAGAAGTTTCTTTTTTCTTTCCCAATGAGTGGTGGAGTCTTTATTTGTCCGCATGGCGGTTGCGCGTTCGCTCCCGGGTAGATCATTCTTTGTCTCCTAGCCTCAAACACTGCGGGCTTGGGGTCCCGCGGACGCCGTGTAAAGCGTCATGGACACTGACTTGGTGTACCTGCAGCAACTTTGAGTGGGCCGAAGGCTACACGACACGTTTCGGCGTTACCTACGTCGACTACAAGGGTGGCCAGAAGCGATACCCTAAGAAGAGCGCGCGAGAAATCTCGAAAATCTTTGACAAGTACATCGAAAAGGAGTAAGAAACCGAGAATCCTGGCGACCCGCGGATGTGGCGTACGACGGTGTAGGACGGATACGCATCCACCGAATCACTGTCGGGATGGGCCTGGATTGATAGGCAGTGCCCTTCTAGGATTTTTCTAGCGCCATGTATGTGGATGGGAGACGGTGAATGTGGGACGATGTGGCACAATGTGGCATGCCATGATGGGCTGTCCTTGCAAATTACCATGTGCGGAAAGCTGTGCGACCCTCTCTTTTCTTAGATGGATCTCGGAGTCTTTGCATCTGTAGATACTATCTTAGATCCGGAGCATTGCGCCATCTTAGGCCCCGCGTGGTAACAACCACTGGGATGATGGTTGTGTATCTCCCGTGTTAGCCTCGCGATATTGATTCCGACGTTTGAACGAACTCCTCATCTGTCTGCTAAGATCGTGGTGCCGTGGTGCCCGAGGCGTAGTGTACCAAAGTTGATAAAGTTTGGTTGAGTGTCCACTATGCTGTCATGGTTGAGGGTGAAGGGTGCCTGTAGAGCTGAAGAGATCCCTGACAGCCAAATCGGCACGCGTCCCATCTCGCCTGTTTCTCACACGCATTCGTCCACCAACGTCAGCGTACCGCCACTTTCAGCCTCGAATCATACCCCACAATTGCGTCTTTTATGCAGGTAAACGCCAAAAAGAAAGGAACATGGCGCGCCCAACGACTATACAATCGCATTCGGGTTTGGCCAAAACGATAGCGACAGAAAACTGTAATAGGAGGCCCCACCAATCACTCGATAGCAAGAGGTTGCGCCATCGCTATGTTGCACTTCTAGTCCAAGAGCTAGAAGCTTCGGAGACCTTTGATGGCGCAACAGGCTCGCTTGGCGCGAATCGTGAAGCGTGATCGGTGAGGGAGGGCGCGAAATTGTAGCGTTAGCGAGGCTAGGAGAGATCCAAATGGTGTGGTTAGAGCAAGTGGGGCATCCTTGTTGGGGTAGACCCGTAAACTCTAATTTTCCACAAGCATGTTTCAGGCTAGGGGTCGTCTTCACCAAAAGTTCGTGGCCGCTAGTGGGTGGCATGGTCTTGTGGAGTTGGACAATTGAGTTCGAGATTAGCAGCGGACACTCAGGATGCAGGTTCATGGAAGAATGCCGGCTGATTATCTAGTAGGCACGGAAAGATAGATCCTAAGTTTGGTAGCGAAGTCATGGAGTCATGACGAACCGTCCGTCTGTGACAGTTTGGCGGCTGGCCTTACTTTGGGACCGGCACTTGAGATTATGATAATGCTGATGTTTCGGACGCCATCTGATCCGGCCGACGCAGGTTTGCTTGCGCAATCGTTCACGGGCCCGCAAAGTGGACATGGTGTCCTGGAGTTGGGCTTGTCTGTAGGGCCCTTGGAGATGGTTGAACTAAGCTTGCGTGCAGCCGCCAGGCGCCATTACGAGTAAGACAGGTCTAGCGAGCGAACCGGCTCGCTCTGCATCCCAAGAATTCCAGTGTTTGGGTGTCGGTGGTGACACTGCAGCTGCGATCTGACAGGTAGAGATGGTTACACCGCAGCACCGATCTGCCGCTCCGGGCCACGACGCACGGGTACCACTGCCTGCATTGCACGGAAGGGGTTGACGACGATGGGGCTCCACGGTGACGGATGTTCGGATTTCGCATTCGGTTGAGCACTGGATGGAGCCCTGAGATTGGAGCACACGGAATTCACCGCTCTATCGACACTGCAGAGACGAAATGGTCATACTGGACGCGAGGTGCATTTGATACGGCGCGCCGCCCTTGGATACGGCGAAGATCAACGTTCGGGCAGCTACGTGTGGGGAACGTCGACATTAGGCTCGCCATTCGTGGTGGTAGCAGCAACGGCTGGTTTCAGCATCTCGCGACTGTCATGACGATGTTGGTTAGTAGTGTCGCTGAAGCTGCCCCAGTCGCGATTACAAACAGCAGAGTGGCCTCATGTCAGCCACTCCTGGAGGTCCCTAACTGCGTAGAGACGTGACGGCGGCGCGCTAGAAGTTTGCATGGACGGTGGCATGGACGGTGAGAGTATTGGGGCTAGAGTGCGCAAGGGAGAAGCGAGCGCGGGCGGTGGGCATTGACGTAGGGAAGGAGCTAACCTCGTGACTTCCCGTACGCGTACCATGGCCCTCGACTCTTCACCGAAACCTGAGGCCGGCGATGGAGTTGGCTGGAAATGAAGCACGCTTTCG